AAAAAAAAAAAAAAAAAAAAAAAAATTTGTTTAATATACCATCTCCAAGATCTTAAACCTATGAGTTATAAACATTCAGAGAAAACAAGTTTGTTTGCAATCATATTTGATAACTGTACCTGGAGTACTACAGAATTGATCACGTCTGCATATCTCACTGCCAAATTTAGCGACATGCACCGAGGAGGCGCAATAGCAAAGCATCTGATCCTCTTTCTCTGAATGTTCCCCAATCTATCCTGTTTCTGCAGTGCAATTATCGTCAACAATGCCACTACTCCAGCCCCTAGGGAATGCCCAACAAATGTCAAAGTGTAACCTGGATTCTTTTCAACCAGTTCCTTTAAAACCTCACACTCTGCATCAAAAATCCATATAGCTGCCTTCAAAAGGCCATTGTGTACATACCCACCACAAAACTTCGTCTGCCCAAGTTTGTTATCTAGCAAGACTGCATAATCACTTTCTTTTGCCAAATTAAGCCCTCTAACTCCCAAGACGACATCACCATGATCGTGATCAACGTAAATCATATATGGGGAAACACGACCAAGAGTTCCTTCATAATCCTTTCTTAGTAGTACCCAATCAGGATTAATGCCATAGCCACCTGGAGGAGCCCAAAGTGGGTTCCGGAGATCATCTTCATAGACAGATAGAATTAATCGACAATAGCGAGGAATAGGTTCAAATTCCTCAGTCGTGGCCAGGCTCCAGTTTTCACTTTCATGGCCAGCATTATAGAGAAATTTCAACCACAACCAACGAGCACACGCTATACAGTAGACACCTTCAGCGACGGGAATACAACAGGCCAGTGACATAGAAAATGAGGCTAGGAACACATGAAGTTATAAGAATCAAATACATTTAAAAATGAAAGTTTAAGAGAAAAACTTAAAAAGAAAGAGGAAAAACTGTATTTGAATGCCAAAAACAGTACAATTTTTAACCCCAAAAAAAAAAAAAGGGGTTCTTAACAGTAAGACTAGAAATGAAGAAAATCAACTGGAACTGGGTCTAAAACTTCCTGGGGTTCTTCCCAATTCTTCCCAGAACACTCGAATTTGCAAAAAAAAAAACTTCAGATATACTAAAGAAACCTATTGAAGAGAGCACCGAGAGTTTCTCTCGAACTCCAGAGTGATAAGCCTTACACAACCAGAAATTTTTTGAATCAAACAAAGGCAAGCATCTGAAAGGGGATGATAAAGTGAAAGAACAAAACCATTAAACAATCAGCAGCCTAAAGCCTGCAAGAAAGAGAAGCACCACAACAACCCATCACAGAAAATCAACTGGGAAACCCTAAATCATCACTAAAATGCTCATTCATACATAAAAAAAAAAAAAAAAAAAAAATAGTTAAGATAGAGACAAGAGATGGGGGGATGATGACAACCAAGGAAGATAAATTTTCGCAAGCTGGGAAAGGTTTCAGCCGAGTTGCATTTCGATTAACAACAATAATAGAGAAGGAAATATACAACAGATAAACAGAGAGAAAGAGAGTGGAAAACGCAAGTATACCTGCCGCAGCCAACGCCAGTCAAGCCCATGTCACAAATGGAATCAAGCATCTACCATGATAAATGCCAAGTTTCCACGAGCTTCTCATAATTAACTATTATTTTTCCTAATGGAATTTAAAATTTAGAGAGAGTATTATTGAAGCGATTGATACCGATGATGGGGACTTTTGGGACCGATTGATCGCTAGAACGAACTCGGTGGATGACAATTTCTTTGAAGGCCCATGGCATTTGTTCGTCGTCGCTTCGATCCTAGGTTGCCTTTCAAAAAGTAGGTACCTCGATTGCGGCTTCTACAGA